CAGTCCAAGTGACTTGAAAGCTTTAGAAATTGAGTTGAGGTATTTTCAAAATGATACGCATCGCCTTCCCTACTTTAAGGACCTCACCACTTTTCCTCAGTTATGTCAACAATTGGCAGAAACAACTTTGGCAGAAAACTACCATTTGCTTTACAGGTTGATTCAGTTGGTGTTGACTCTTCTTGTTTTTACAGTAACAGCGGAACAAGCTTTTTCATGTATGAGAATTATTAAGAATAGACTTCGGAGCACCATAGCTGATGAATTCCTTGCTAATTGCATGATTCTCCACATTAAAAGAGAGTTTGCTAATAATATCGATAATGAAGATATAATTGAGGAATTTAAGATTTCTAAGCCTCGTAGGGTAAAGTTTTAGATATAGTTTAGTTTTGTGTTGCATTGCATTACTTCTTGTTTTTCGGTTAGGCTTTTATTTATGTATAGATATGCATATTTGAGGGTAAAGCTCATTATGTCCCTCCTAACTATGTGTATCTTTTTATTTTTATGAATAAAATTCACTCGTATTGTCGAGTTTTTAAGTTAAGTTTCGCCTACTTGACTTTTGAATCATGGATCTGCCACTAATTGCAATATGTTTATATGACCAAATAAAGGTTTGCCTATCGTTCTTTTACACAGTATTTTAAGTTTCCAAGTAAACAAAACGAAATAGACGACGGGATCCACGGTCATTATGACGTTAATCGACCGACATCAATTATGAAGGTTTTTCACCGTCGTTATTTATTTGTAAAGACAAGGGTTTTATTAAAAACCGTCGTTATTTTGATATAAAGATGACGATTTTTTTTTTTTGTAAAAACCGTCGTTGATTTTATATAAAAACGGACTTTTTTTCTTTTTATAAATATTTTTGGTAAGAAGAGTGTTATTGCTAGCTCTCAACATCCATGAACAAGTGCAATTACTTTCGGTTCATCACCGGGTGCAGGACAAATATTAGCCAAAATCTTCTATTAGGGAAAAATATTGTATTTGATATTGTTATATCTCAACTAATCATTTGAACTTTTAGAATAAAAAATATTTTCCTTTTCAATTATCACATCTTTTTCATTTGGATTTTACTAATCCCTGATTAGGTAAAGTGAATGCTGGACAACTGTCCGACGAAAAACTCTCTCAATTCATAGTTAGTGTACATGCGTGCAATGCGAGATCTTCAATTCATATCCACATCGTAAAATGTGTTCATGCATGCAATGCCAGATCTTCAAGCCTAGGAAAGAAAGATACTTATGAGTTATAATACTTCATATATCAGAGTGCAAAAACTACGAGAGATAGAGAGAGAGACTAATAACCCTTTCTGAGATGTAAAATCAACGAAAACCCAATTATTGCTTTCATCCTCACCAAATCTAATATGCAGACCTATCCCAGCCCATTCTTATAAACTATTTGGCAATAAGAAATGATCAAATGGGCAGACAGGGATGATCCACACCTGTCAAATTCGACAAATCTTTAATAATATAAGGACAAACATTTTAGAACTGCGATTGATCAGCCCCACACAGCCATCATTTATGGTACGTATATAATAATGTATAACTTTTTCCCCTTTGGGTTTTCGTTCTTTAATCAAAAGTCACACCAACTCCCATTTCCAAATTTTAAAATAACCACCCTAGTAAGGCATATGGCGTAAAAAACTTCGAGAATGATAGATACCTTTTGCACTTGCCTTTATTTATTTTTTATATCAAAAATAAATTAATGTATTTGAAAGATCAATAATTTAGTTTCCAAATTCACATTATCTGTCAAATTATTATATTTTTAAATTGGCTATTCAACTGAATAATGACCAAATTAATTAAATATACAAATGGTGTGTGTGTTGTTCCCATCCTCCAGCAAGACCTAGATTTCCCATTAATCAACGGAGATGAATTTAACTACGTTACTTACGTCGTTGGTTTTGAGGGGAAGGGTGCTGTGCTGGTTTAGCGTTTGACTAGTTGGGTTGGGTGCTTATTGCACTGCCGGCTGGGTTGAGTTGTGTTTGCTTTGGATTAGTTGTCACGAGAGTTTCGTCCATACATTATTAGGGCATTTTTCAGTGTTGCTTATGGAATGGAAGAACGTGAAAACTTTTTTCTTTGTGGAATCTATCATTCATTCGTCGCATCCAGCAACACTTTCTTTTCTTTTTGTCGATTGTTAATATTAAAGCAAACCAGCAATTCCACAGGGAAGAAGGGCAAAGAGATAAAAGAGAGAGAGAGAGAGAGAGAGACGAAGAGGGAAGAGAGCTCAAATGATGAAGGAAAGAGCTTACAGCTGCTTCTACTACTTTTTTACTACTTTTTGTTGGCGAGTCCTTACTTAGTTAGGATTTTGGTTCCTTACTATGTTAGAATTTTAGTTACTTATCATTTATCTAGTCATATTATTATAATTGAGATTTATTTCTTATTATAATTTATATATATTTTCTATTGTAATTTAGATATATTTCTTATTTTATTTAGGGTTAACACATCTTCGTACTTGTATAAATACCTCCATATTGGAAAAGAATAATAATATGAGAATATCTGAATTTTTTCTCCTACTTTGTTTGACTCTTTTAGCTTGTTTCTTTTTCATCTACAAGGCTAAGTGTTCAATGTGAAATTCGAATCCAAGCACGCAACGTACTTCAAATTTTTTGATCTTTTAAGTACTTTGAATCCAAGCGCGCAACATATACCGGTTGGATATTGTTGATTTTTAAGTCTATGTTGTACTTGATATATGAATGATGAGCAAGAACTGGACATATATATATAGCACACCACGCATCTTATTTTATGTATGTGATAACCCACATAGCTAATACATCACATATGAAATCCCTTCATGCACTTGCCACAAAGAAAAACTTACATAAAACAGAGCATTACTTATAATCTTAACCAGAAAAAGCACGCATTTAACATACATACATATGTATGCTTTTCATATTCGATTATGCCTTGGCAAAGTGAGCATCAAGATCCCTGACGAGGGTAACCATGAGACCAACAAATCTATCTGGAGCTTCAACATCAGCATTCCTTTTCTCATAGTGAATCGTCAGGTTAGCAACGCTAACATTACCCTTTTGAGCGAACTGATAGATGCCCTTAAAGCTCTTATAATACTTGAACATTTCTCCGTCCAATCCAGTCAGAGTTGCCGCCTTGTTCTCGTCGTCGTACTCGACCTTTTCCTTGAATGTCCCAACTTCGTCGCCTGTCGCATTTATTTCACAACAACAAAATATATATAAGCTCATCTTATGATGTTTTTCTTCATACCCATATGATATAGTTAACAATGAAACAGAAAATAACTAAACGTGTCCTAAGTGGGTCACCATAGTTACTTAATTACCTAGATGATAATTCCAGATCTTAACAGAGCCGTGCGTTTCCCAATCTCCTTCATGCACCTGAACGCCTTTGATATGGCCAGAAGAAACATTTGGGATGAGGTGGGCTTGGCCCTTGAAGATTTTGTAGAACTTATCAGCAGGTGACTTGAGTTCTATTTGAGTCCCAATAAAACCGTGCAGAGCCATGCTTATGCTTATCAGTTTTGAAATTTGATATGTATAAGGCAGAATGTTGAACAACATATAACTTGGCTTCTCCTTAAATACAAGTCATTACAGTAAAATTGCCTGATATTTTATATTATAAGTTTAAGCGGTAGCAGGTGCTTGCTTCACATCATGAAACTCACGAAACACATGAAACACATTTACTAATTATCACAACATGTGCGGATAAAACAAGTAATAGAGGTTTTGTTTACAGTGTTTCTTTTATTTTTTCTAATTTTATTTTTGAGTTACAGTGGTGGCCGACGCTCCAAGAAAGCAAAGACTGAGTCAAAACAGTTGCTAGAGTGTCCCAAATGAGAAAGTAATTACTAATTACGGAGTGAATCAATCTCAAAAAAAAAAATTGTGAATACTATGCGGTACATCTTATAATATAACACGTGTATAAGATATATCACATAACCATACTACTATAATATTCTAAAATATTTCAATATAATGGTCCACATTTGCATTCAATTTCATATCTTTATTGATATTTTTAGAAGGCAGAATTTAAATATATTCACGTGAACGGTACCAGTACTGCCCCGTAAACCTGTACGAAAAAGATCTATATAATATGAGAAAGTATTGAGTGTCGGCAAAGGCATGTAATGTATCAGCATGAATTGACAGTCGTGTAGTGAACTGTTAATATTGACATTCGCTGAAATTAGAATTATCCATTCATAATTATAAAATGTGACTCTTGATACTCGAGAGTTCGTTTTAAATATTTTTAATTCGACAATCTACTTCCACTTAATTAATGAGCTATAATGAGAATTATGAAAGCTACTTCCACTTAATTAATTATAATACAAATTTATAAATAAACATGTATTTATAAAAAAACTCAAACACTATTTAAACATAGAAACACACCCAAAATCAACAATTGTATATTTTTTGGGTGTGTTTATAAATAGGTTTTGAGTGTGTGTAATGATGGGTTTTGGGTGTGTTTATAAAGTGTTTTGGATATTTAGTTTTTTTATAATTTTAGCCCCCATTTTAGGTGTTTTAGTGAAACTCCCTAATTATAATTCACTTGATTTGCTTTCATCATCACCAAAATCTGGGCAAACCCCACGGCTTAAGACAACTTGGCAATAAGAAAATAGAGATAATCAAGTGGCCAGGCCGGGACGAATGATCTTACTCATCATACATCACCAGCATTATTAAGAAATACTAAATATTATTATAGGTACACACTTAAAATTTATAATTCTTTTTTTGGTTTTTTTTTTTCTTGGTGGCTTTTGGGCTAATTGGATTGGTTCTTTATTTAATCAGAATATAAAAGTCATTACCAACTCCCATTTCCAGAATTTAAAATTAATAGCTCGCAATAATTTGAAGAAAGAAGCAATATTGTCGCAAAAATATTCTAGTTTCGAAGAAGCACCATATTTTGCCATTCCTTAAATAATGTATGAAGTAATCTGTAATTGTGCATATCAGCAAATCAGCATATGTATATACATATAAGGCTGAGACTGAGAGCCCTCAACCATCCACCCATCAGCTGTCCAAAATTGAGATCCAGTTAACAATTAAATAATTACAAGGAGAAGTAAAATGGATTATACAGAATTATCTTTGGAACACATGGGATCTTGCTCCTCACTTATTTAGCATATCAGGAATATCCTTTCTGGAACTAACAGTAACTGGAGAGGCAGAAAGGCGATTGTGTTTATCCGAAACCACCGGGTAATCGAGTTTCTTACTGTCCTTTCCCTCTTTGTAAGACTTTGCAGGAGATGTCGATCCAAAGATCTGTACTGTTAAGCTTCCACCTGCAGATAAAACAAGAACCAGACATGTAAATGCATATGGAAAGCAACCACTAATAATTATAAACATCAACTAATCAGTATTTCCCTGTTTGAGTTTGAATATCGGTACGCATTAAGGTTAACTTGTCAAACTTTTAGCCAATAGAACATCTAGTTGACAAACCGACTAGTTGAGTTCTCATTTCAAGCAACAACAGGCAGGTGCAGGGTTTCAGAAGCACATCTTTAAAATCATTTAATAATAAAAGAATTTAATTCTTCTATCCTGGGAAAGAGCACAATGAAGAGGATATGTACGTTCCTATTCCAATAAAATCATTTAAACTTTAACTCATGGATTTTTAAATAACATACTGAACCTAATTATTGAAATTCTTATTCTTCTCAAGCTTGAATTTGACCAATTTAAGCTTTACTGAAATCCTATATAACCACGTAAATACTCAATTTTACTAAGATAAAAGCTGGTTAGAAGGTGAGCAGCAGATGTATAATCCGAAAGTAGATATGTTAAATCATAAGCATTGCACCTACTAATGGTAAGGTAATATTTGGTAATTGGTAGTTTAATAATAATAGCTGAATTTACTTTACCTAGCACCAGTGCAGCCCCAATCCAACCAGTAGTGCCCCACCTTTCCCCAAGGAGAAACCAAGCAAAACCAGCACCCCAGACTGGCTCCAAGCCATAAATTATTGCTGTTTCTGTGGCTGATACATCACGCATTGCGGCCATCTGTAAAAGTAATTCTCTATTTTAAAATTTAAGCTAAAAACGTTTCAAATAATGCTTGGGATTTATTTGGTTTAGCAAGAGCTGGAGTATCCTCAACCAGAGGTCCTATAATTTACAAATGTTCATTTCGTATTGGACATAACCTGTGTATCCAATGAATACCAGGAAACACAGCAACGCAAGATCAAATGGTTGACAACCTCAGATGAGCATTTGCACATACCTCTACCCATAAGCATAGACCAGTTGAGAATATGCCCGAGTACAGTGCAGGTATCCATGGAAACACCACCATCCACTCCCAGAATATCTTCCACGTCCACAATGATGGGTTACAATCTTGGAGGCCCCCGGACCCTGATCCAACGCAGTACCACATTGTTGACATGATAGCAACAACGCATACCTAAATGGAATCTTAGAACTTTAGAAGACCACCGATGAATATTAACAAGTAGAATTCATTCCATATCCAACAAACATGGACATAATGACAATACATACTAACCTCATAACCGAGCAGAGGTAAGAAATTTTCTCTTTTCGTGTTTCTTGAAATGTGTTCAGTTCTTAACATATGGACACCAAAAAACACGGCGCTTAAGAAGTTCAACAAATCTCCAACCTGAAAAGGTTTGGTTGCATGCAATTTTACTGAGAGCAAGAGAGAGAACGACCAATCACCAATTATATAAAAAATGACAGATGATTCTATAAACATCTTATCAAGTGTAAGACAACTTACACTGGGTGGAGATCCGCTGGATTCCAGCATTGCAACTCCTATGATAGACATGAGAGCTCCGAACCAGGTATGAGCGGGGACTATTGCTCCTAACATACCATCAAGCAATGGAACTATAACTACCTGTTAAATTCACCCAGAAAATGCCAACATTGTACGTTTAGGTACACCCAGCAAACAATCAATTTGCACTCCTATATATGCATAGAAGGCTAATTAAGAGACTTACAGTGAACATAGATATAAATGATGCGCGACCGGCATCTGATGTTAGCAATCCAAGAGCCTGCATGAGATACCCTAGACTGACCCAGAAACCCAACTCAATCCCTGCATTACGGGTATGAATATCACCTCGTGCTCGGAACACAAATGGGATGAATGGAATGGCCGACACAGCAAACCGAACAACAGTAAAGGCTGCTGGGTCCATGATCGCTTCCACCTCTTTCACAACCGAGAAGTTACTGGCTACAAGAAGTGAAAAAGATGAGTGGAACAGATTAAAATTGTGATTCATACACTTTCAATACACCATACGAGCCTGGACTTCATAACCCAAATAGCTTTCACTTCCAGAGGTTTAAAAGGCTGCAGTTGGTTTGCATTATGGATCAGTGATTAAACTTCTTTTGAATAATAGAAAATAAGTTCTGCCAATTCAATACCAAAGAACGGTAAGCTATTACTTCCTAGCAGGAACATCTATAATTTTCACTTGTGATTGAACAACGAGTTCTTTCAAGTTTCCACACTGACATATTTGTACTTTCTTATTGATTCTCCCACTAAAACTCTAAATCATCTTTCCGTTCAGTAACTTCACTTGCCCTTTACCCTATATTTTTCTTGAGCTACCATTACACATTGTTAAATGTAACAAATTTTTGTTCTTTTCTTTAATTTTATGAGCAACCAGAAATAAGGCAGAGATTATTTATGGAAATATTACAACTTTAATAATGCTCAACTTTTAGGGAGAAAAAAAAAATAAAAAGGAAGAAACTTTACCATAAACAACGGTGATAACGTTGAGCAAAATGATGCTCCGAACTTTCTTAGAGGCGAAAAATATCCTTCGCCACAGAGATCGTTTCCCAAAGAAGGACTTGAAGCTTAGGGTCGTTTTTCTATTTTCGTCTTCAGATCGATTTCCATTTGAACTTTTACCTAATTTGCTTGGATTCGGACTCGCACTATCCAATTTCAGGGGCTTTCTCAGTCCCCGCTTGGCGGTAGATTTAGAGCTACTAGAAGAAGGAGAAGAAGAAGAAGCCGTGAAACGAGGTCGTTTTTGTGGAGCAGAGTGGAAGGAAGAGAGACTCGAGGAGTCAGAAGAGCATTTAACTGTGGCGGTGGCGTGGGTCGGTGAGTTCCATGACCATCCACATGGTGATTGGGCAGCCATGGCTCAGAGCCTGAGAGCGCTGAGCAATGCAGAGGACTGAGAGAAACTTCTCGCTGTGGCTGAGAGAACATTTCACCCGCTGGACACGAAATTACTGAAATGCCCTCGTATTTTCAGCCGGACAAAATATCTGCAGCGCATCGATGAAATGTCAGTTTAGTCAAATGGCAGCTAAAAACGACAACGTTTGGGTCCTCCTCTGTTCCTCTTAAGAACAACCAACGACAATTCGGTTAGTAGAGAATGAGAAGAGTGATGCAAATACCATGGAGCTCCAGAAGAAGCCATTGCATGATGGGCATGACCAAGCTTTGGTTCAGTCTCTCACTTCAACCACTTGCCTCAATTCTCCAATTTTCTTCTCTCACCCAAACCCAAAACCCCTCCAATCCACCAATTGCTCTGACGAAGCAAGTCTTCACCACCCTCTTACAATCATGCTCTTCCTACCCAAACCACCTCAAGCAAATTCATGCCCTCATCCTCACCACAGGCCTCTCTATCAAGAACAGCCTCATCACCCAACTTCTCACCAATCTCACACTCTTAGGGGACATGTCCTATGCCCGCCAATTATTCGACCAAATGCACAAGCCACGCGTTTTTCTGTGGAGCACCCTTATCAAAGCCTATGTCAAAAATGGTATTTTTACGGAGGCGGCTTTTGTTTATAGACAAATGCACCTTCTGGGTGTTCGTCCTGACCAGTTTACTTACACGTTTGTGGTCAAGGCATGTGCTGAACTGCCCGAATTATGGGCTGGATCAGCTGTCCTTGCCCATGTGGTGAAATATGGGTTGGAATTCGTTGCTATGGTGAGGACTGAGCTGATACTAATGTTTGCGAAATTCGGAGAATTGGGTATGGCGGATTTTCTATTTGAAACTATGGTTGAGAGGGATTTGATTGCTTGGAATGCTTTCATTGCGGCTTGTGTACAAAATGGCAATGCTGGTAAGGCTCTTGCATTGTTTCGCCAGATGGATGTTGCTGGAATTAAGCCTGATGCTGTTAGTGTTGTGAGTGCCTTTTCAGCTTGTGGTCAATTAGGGTGTTTGGAGAATGGGCAAGAAATCTATGGGATCGTGAGAAAATATGGGATTGTTTGCAATATAATTGTTGCCAATGCACGGCTTGATATGTATGTGAAATGTGGTAGCATAGACATGGCTGAGGCGTTGTTTGAGGATATGCCTCAGAGAAATGTTATTTCCTGGAGCACTATGGTAATAGGGTATTCCATAAATGGGGAGAGTGAAAAGGCATTGAATATGTTTTCGAGGATGCAAAAACATGGAGTGCAACCAAACCATGTCACTTATCTTGGAGTTTTGTGTGCATGTAGCCATGCTGGGCTTGTAAATGAAGGCAAGGCTTATTTTAGTCACATGGTCCAATCTGGTAACAAGAATATTCGACCAAAAATAGAGCACTATGCATGTATGGTTGACCTTCTAGGCCGGTCAGGACATCTTGAGGAGGCCTATAATTTCATAAGAAGTATGCCAATTGAACCGGATTCTGGGGTGTGGGGAGCTTTATTGGGTGCCTGTACAATCCACCAAAATGTTGAACTGGGCCAGCATGCAGCTGATTTACTTTTTGAAGTAGCTCCAGATATTGGTTCATATCATGTCTTAATGTCAAACATATATGCGGCTGCTGGAAGATGGGATTTTGTTGATAAGGTGAGGCTCAGAATGAGAAAAAGAGGTGTTAAGAAAATAGCTGCCTACAGCTCCGTTGAATGTAATGGGAAATTCCACATTTTCTATGGTGGAGACAGATTGGACCCGGAGTCATCAGAAATATATGAGAAGTTGGAGGACTTATTGAGAGAAGTGAAGAGTATAGGTTACATTCCAAATACCAGCTCCGTGTTTCATGATGTAGACATAGAGGAAAAGGAAGCCACACTGAACAGTCACAGTGAAAAGCTAGCCGTTGCATTTAGTCTTATAAATCTAAGGCCTGAATGCCCAATTAGGGTGGTGAAGAATCTGAGGATTTGTGACGACTGCCATAGTTTCTGTAAATTTGTTTCTAAAACTACCAAAAGGGAGATTGTCATGAGAGATAAAATCCGTTTTCATCATTTTAGAAATGGTGATTGTTCATGCAACAACTTTTGGTGATCGCAAGAAATACTAATGACTGGCATATGGTGATTGAAGAAGAACCAAGTATGAGCTCATAATAGATACTAGCTATGGCTCGAAGGTGACTATTATATTGCCTACGTCAATGTACCTGAACTAGTTTGTGCACTTGCATTGACAAAGTATCAACGGCAACAGATATCTTATATTTGGCGATGCTGAAAAAGTGGACTTCCTACGTGAACTTCTGCACGGCACTAAGAGGTTTGAGGAAAGCAATTTTTTTGGTGGAGAATGTTTAATTTCAGTTCGTATACATCACCAAGGAATTTTGACTCAGATTGTGAAACAGTGCGTAATGTTTGCCACAAAAATCTCATCAAGATCCTTGGCACTAGAATAAACGCCTAATGGGAGCCTTGAGAAATGGCTTTACTCTCACAGCTGTTTTCAAGATAGATTGCAGAGACTAAAGGTAGTGGTGGATGTTGCCTCAATATTTGCATATCTCCATCATGGTTATTCAGTATCTGCCTCGCTGTGATAAAAAGCCAAAGCATTGTCCTTCTTGAGGAAGGTATGGTTGCACCTGTATCTGACATTGGCATTTCCAAACTCTATGGAAACAGAGCATCTACAATACTAATCAAGACTGTTTCTACGATTTGGATATATGGCCGTGGAACTATGTGACGTTTCTAATCTATCATCTAGGTTATGACCGTTTTCTTCTTCATTTGGATATGGTTTTATTATTTTATTATGTGAAGAAACCCATTTTGAGTTCAGCAATGAATGTTCTTATTCTTTCTCAGAGCTTATTACAGAAGGGGGGTAGTATCTACAAGAGGTAACGTTTGCAGTTATGGCATAATGTTAACAGAAATTTTCACTAGAATAAAGCCGAAAGATGAACATTTTGCAGGAGAACTGGGTTTGAGAGATTGGGTTGGTGACTCATTACATGGTTCAACAGTTAAGTTGGTGACACAAATTTGCTAGGCAATGAAGATGATCATTTTGTTGAACGAGAAGTGTATATCTTGTGTCTTTAGACATGGCATTCATCCAAGATTCACCTGTGGAGAGAATTGATATGAAATATGCGGTGACAAAATTTACGAGAAATAGAGGACGATTTCTAGCAAATATTGGCTTTGAAGTAAAGAGCCAAGCAATGTTTTTGGTAGTTTCTTGTTTGTTTCCTCTATGTAAAGACCATGTATGCATCTGTACATTGAGCACTTTCAATATACATGTCCATTAACACTTGCAATATTAGCTTTGTTGGTCTTTACGTGCCTGCATTTTTGCCTCTCATCTGCTACGAGACCCCTTTATCCTCTGTGAGTTCCCCAAGCCCCTTCTCAGTTTCCGCCCCCATTTTTTTTTTCTCATCCCCTCCACCGGCTGGTTCTTTATTTTGTTTTTCCACCTGATCTTCGGTTGCCTCTCAGACCCAAAATTTCATATAAGTATATAATAAAAAATCCTCTCCCAAGGAAATTTTGGGTGTGACACACATTTTCCAATAATGTTACACTCACAAACTTTGTTGAATTCAACTTTATAAAGTTGTACCTCATTATAATCTGGCATATTTAAAAATAAATAAATAAGTGTGCTAGTACTTTATAATTAGACTGCATCTTGTTGTCAAGGACTCAAGTGGGTGCAGTTACTGTTTTTAAGGAATAAAGATATTAAAGTCAATAAATCAATTCATGAGTAGAAAAGTGGGATTAGAAGATGTTCCTCTTTGGTAAAAAAAAACAAATTGTAATTAATCGTTAAAGATTCAAGGGGACAAACAATCAATGAAAAGTTGAGAGTTGTAAAAGCAATCTCGTTCATTATTCTGCCATTCTGGTTTCTCCTGCGTATCTATCAACTTACGAGTCGACGACCCATATAATAATAATAAAGTCTCTTTTCAAGCTGCCCTCTCACAAAACAAAAGCCAAATTTATACTCATGCTATTATAACAGGATAGCAAAACAGTACTATTTCAGTTGTAACTTAATTTTTCCCTATGCCACGACATGCCAACTTTCTAACTTCGAAGTTCCATACATTTACTACTCGAAGGGTAAAGGGACCAAATGCCCAGATATCATTCTTCCAAGAAACATGTCTTTGTCGTTAACCGAAAGGAAATACCAACAAAACCCTGCGCTGCTTTGGTCAATCAGTGCAAGCAATTTTCTCTCCATTTTGACTCCCAAGGTCACCATGCCCATTTCTTCCTAGTTGTTTGTTAGTGCATTATCTTATATTATTATGTTCCAACTTGGCTCTGACCCAAAACAAAACCATTGACGCTAGCTACTTGCCTTCTTTTTTTCTTTTTTCTTTTTCCTATTTTGTTGAAATTGATGCTGCTTTGGTAATGGTTGGCTTAAACAAAAACCAATTATCACTAACTAAATATATCCACAATCCAATCGACCATCACCAAGTTGTAACTTGTAATGATGAAGAAGGCGGTCTACATTGATAACATTATGTATGTATCAAGTATATTTTTGGTGGTTGATGATATTGTGATGAACTTGGCTTTCAGCCAACATGTCGACCAGCGTGGGGACCTTTCTCGGTTAATGCTACTCTTACCACATTTGTATACCACATCTTTATATCATCTTATGTGGCAGTTGAGGTGAACAACCACATTAATTAAAATTATACAAATTTATAAATAAACCCAATTCTAGACATGTATTTATAAAAAAAACTCAAACACTATTTAAACATAGAAACACACCCAAAATCAACCCCAAAGTCAACAATTGTATATTTTTTGGGTGTGTTTATAAATGGGTTTTGAGTGTGTGTAATGATGGGTTTTGGGTATGTTTATAAAGTGTTTTGGGTGTTGGGTTTTTTTATAATTTCAGCTCCCATTTTGGGTGTTTTAGTGAAACTTATTCCAATATTTGTTTTTCTAATTATTTTAATTAAAATACACTTAATTGATTTAATTGATGTAACATATAATATGAACATGTCACATCATGTGGAATAAAAATGTGGTAAGTGTAGCATTACTCTTTCTAAATTGGTGAAAAAAAAAAAAAAAGATGACCATATTTATTCAATGAAGATGTTGATGGAACCAAATATTTAAATTAAAATTTCAAAAAAAAACTAGCTCGCGATGGAATGCAAAATCTTGGGGTGGGTGGAAGCAATAAACGGGTTTTATGGGAGTTGACAAAGAGAGAGATGAGGTAGTTGCATTTCGATCAGACCCTCTTTAACTCACACATTTATGAATGATTCCAAGCAAACATTCATCTCATGGGGAAATACCATTTTCCCCAAAAATAATAACCCTCGACATCTTTATTAGGTGAGAAGAGAGATAGCTACAATCTTTTCATTTTTGAACTAATCAAAAACTACTTAATTAGATTATTAATTTATTATAAACTTTTTTGTTTTCTGGCCAATTTTGATTTGGGGTGGCGAGCTGTTTTTTTATTTTTATTTTTATTTTTATAGGTTTCACAGATTCAGCTTACACAACTCATTCCAAGGAAGTTTCTATGGGTTTCTTTAATTGCTGATCCAATCTTGAGAGGTTGAACTTTGTTTTGTCCACAGGTGACATTGAAGAACAACCAATATATATTATAATCCAAAGTGGAGCTGTGGCTGCCCTTAATAATTTAAGTCTAATAAGAGCACCCTCCTCCTCCTCCTCCTGCCCCTGTAGTAAATGTAAAATAAAGGCAAGGACGAGATAGAATGGGTGGTGATGGGTCGGGGAGTGAAGTGCCCGGAGGGCTCTGCTCCATGCAAAAACTTGAGCAGCATTAATAACATGTTGGGGGGGAATAGAATAGAAACCCTAATAAGTCCTGACTGAGGTGAGGAAGCGTGTTGGCCCATAGAGACAGGCATCCTCATTGGAAGAAATAAAGAAATGGGTGCATTTAAGTCTCCAAATACAGATGAGGACTTCTAGGAACAATCAATCAAAATAGTCCCACACCCCAGCCAATAAAATATCAATTTCTACAAACCCAGCCTAGCTAAGCTACCTAGTTTTAAAGCTTTCAAGCCCTACTTGCCCACGTGTCTCGTTATTAAAAGTTGATATTTTTCTCCAATAGTGCAGTGAGGACCAATGGTCAGGATCATTTGCTTTGAATCAGTGCTGGGTGATTAGGTCTAATTATATTTTGCACGCCTCAGTAATAATGCACAATCATGGAGAAGGAGCATTAATTGGACGGTCGGATCTGCGTAACCAAACTAGTATTCGACCCTGTAGTACTATTGTTAGTCTGGGATTTTGATTTTCTTCAATGTTATATGTCTAGGGTTATGGGGGTGCTGGAAATGAATCATGGCATGAAAGAATTAAAGGAGGACAGCAGATGAAGAATAATAACTATACGTGCAGAAATGAATTGAAGCACAATTAAATGAATGGTAAAGAGAGAAGGTACAGAAAGCTGTAAGAAGATGACTGCAAAAAGAAACAAGAGCATTAACACTAGCCTCCCCATTTTCTTTCTCTTACCACTCCCAGCATTGCTGCCTGCCCTGCCCATAACCTCATCAAACACTACTGAAAAAGGCTAAAGCCATGCTCTCATTCTTTCTACCTAATCAAAACAACAAAAACAAAACAAAAACTGATAACATAAAACATGTTACAGCCTTTTTCACTTGATGAGAATTCTAGCTAACTATAGCTAAGCTAGTAGCATTCAACCCTAGCTACTAGTACTGGAATACACAGGAGCAGCAGCAGCAGCAAATCAAACCCCAACCAACCACTGATATTGAAATTTCAATATGATCAATTAGTTGTGAAGGGGATTTGGACCTGTATGAACTATTCTCTTGTCATCTCCATATAGCTTGTCAGGACCACCGTTGATCCCCACAAAATGATGAACATCATGAGATGGAGTACTTGAAGGTGCATAAAACGATACCTTGCCCAGGAAACGGGTTTTCCTTGTCGGGGACCTCATGAACCGGCCACCACCCAACTCATCACCATGACTGGTACTGGTTCTACTGGCAGAAGCCACCAAATTACTTGTTGGAGCAAAAATTAAAATGACCAAGAAGAAGAAGATTGCAGAATTTCTAGCTTCACCAGGCCCATGTCTGCTTCCTCCTGTTGTTGTTGTTGTTGTTGTCGCAATACTACTTTGTAGGCCTTCTCTAGCAGCAGCAGCTCTCATTGCACCAACTAAAAATGGTAATGGCAGAGACTAATAAAAACCATAAAAACCTTGATGTGAGCTCTAACTAGCTTCTACTGTGCACTATGGAATTGGGGTTTTTTCTATTTTGGGTAGTGATTGTTGAGTGAAGGAGAGAAGAGAGGAAGCTTAAAAACCTCTGGTGGTGCAATTCTTCCTTGTCTGGCGGGTCTACGCTAGGCACATGATCTTGACCCTTGATTCCTGGAACCTTCTTATATTTCTTATTTCACTTCTTCTGAAAAACTTGGGAGTCTGCACCTTTTACTCACCCCACCACTCACCACTGCTTTGTTTTTCCTTGCTTTGCTTTTCGGTATCTGTTTGGTTTTTTTTTTTTTTTGTGGGGTTTGATGTTGTTGTACATATATAAATATAAATATATATATGTATATTTATAATGAATATCATATATGCTGCTGGCTTGGAGTTGGAGAGGGTGTGGTGTGTGGGACTGTCCAGTATTAATAGCCGTTGTCCCCGGAACACTTTCAAATCTAATCTATGTACGTTTGTGAAAAATGGAGCATTTCTAAACCAACTCGGTGGCCGTACCATCTTTCGCTTGTGCACAGAAACTCCTTATAAATTATAATTTATTATATAGGGATTTTACTCTACTAGCTAAGTAAACAATAAGCACGTGCATTAACAACATATTATATTAGCATCAGTAAATTTTATTTATAGAGTATAGTTTGGTAATGGTAGGTAGTATTTTTGGGTGTGTTGAGTAAACTTGATAAGGTGTAAACGTAGGTCTTTATCCGAGTCATGATTGGAAGCGTGTGATATTTAATCAGTCACATTCAGATTTAGTACTGTAGACCAGCCCATGCAGCTTATAGCTTGCCACCACCAAAATTGGGAATGCCAGCTCACTCAACCACCACCATACAGGAACAGGAGGAGAGGAGAGGGCCTACTTCATTTCATTAGCTGGGAAGGGAGACCAAGACTAGCCAGTCCACCATGATCAGATCTTGTTCATGATAATATAATATCAATTTTAACGGTGTCAAGTCAAAACAAGCAAGCATGATTGACTACA